CCCGGCGCCATAGGTCACTTGCTGTGGCGAGAAGTCCAACAGGTTCGCCATAGTTTTGGTTCGCTTGATGATCCTGCTTGCCAACGGGATACTGGGTTCCGGCTTTGGCGGACGAAAGAGGATCGATACGGTCTGAGCGCCGATCGGACTCCAGTGATGACAACTTGGGAGGCGAGGCTTGAAAATGACGATCAGACAAGAGCCTGTCAACATCAAGACCGGCGGGCTCTTACCTTCGCTGTTCGCCATATCGCAATTTGAAATTCGTGAGGGGATGGGCGGGGGGGAGTAGAAGGGAGGAAGGAGCATCCCTTTTAGGCGTCAGCACCCCATCACCCTTCTGATGGGCCGATCCAATCGGAACATGTGAACCTTATGTCAGATGATGTACACCTGAATCCCACTGTCATGTGATTCAGATCAAAGCTTCTATCAGTTTCTATCCAGCTCGAATGGCGGAAATTCTGGTAAACCCGACGTCACTATTGCTACATAGAGGGTGAAATCAGCCCGTAAAATTGCTTTCTTCTTAGGTCAGGTCCTGGTCGATAACAGAGTTCAGACCTCAACTCCAGAAATCCAGTGAAATTTGAACCACCTGGTTGGACAGAAGACTCTGGAAAATTCAGCTTGCTTAAGAAGTTCTAAACCAAAAGGTAGCTCAACTTTGGAGTTGAGGCAGGACTCAAGCTGAGCTCTTCTTACCAAACTAGCCCTTACATCTAAGCCTACGTGGCTGTACTATTATCTTTTACCAGATAATAAGGGGGGGGATATGGTGCTGTGAACGTGATCCTTATCACGTTCAAGGCAAAGACACATAATAGTAACCGGTCCTTGCGATGGTAAAAATAGCATGTACTGATACGGGATTGGTCAGGTCAAGTGAGCATAGAGACGGGAATAGTTACTTCAGAAACTACGCCTTTCTCTGAATGGTCAAGAAGTGTCCTGTGAGGACACTCAACTGTCTGCACTTACGATAGCAGGACTAGGAGTGAACCGTAGTCATTTATCAATTCAGTCGCATGAGACAGCACTTACAAGCCTCAATATCTGACACAGAGTCACGAGATTGTTGTACAATTGGATTCTGGCATTTAACGCACACACAAGGCTATAAACAAGCGCACCTGCCCAACGTGAGTAAAGGGGTAGATGCTCTCATACCCGTAGGCTCCGCGTTCTCAATTCGTATCAGGGCCAGCTCATACCTATGACTTTAGGTGGGGAAATGCGGCTTTCAAGAAGCCCCACCATCTCTCTGATTACTAGGTTGCACTTTCCAAAACCATAAAGATCTGGCGTGCGCGAGGCCGATCTGAAGCTCCAGTTTTGGGAGGCTCGTGGAATATTCGTGCATAGCTGAATGAGACACAACCATTTGAGCCCGTTACAATAATTTTGTTGATCGCGTTCGGTAAATACGGTACAGTTTCGGCACTTCCTTCGTCCAAATTTCCCAAGCTTCGTCCGCACACGTCGGGTTTGTTTCTACACGTTACATGTACCTTGTCGTTTGTTCGTCAGCCAACCATGTTAGAGGGCTGCTGTTCTTGTAACAGAGGCGTGCTTGACTGAACAAAGCAACAGACTGTGTAACGCCGAGCTGGCTGTGTGAGTTGGCGATCCTTGCCTTGATGTCATGCAATTCCTCCGTTGTTTTCTTTTCTACATATTTCCCTTGACTCCAACAATCTTCTCTTGTGATACCGCGTGACCTCGCTCACATCGTCCTGAAATTTTGTCTGCGGCGCACTATGCGTCTTGTCCTCAGGGTCTAGGAAGCCATCTCCAGCCAACATGGAATCTTTTGCACGACGGCATGCGGTCTGCCAGGTCTGCACTGATTGCACCATGCACCCATGCCTTGTACGTGGATCTACTTGTTATACTGGGTCAGCTATCAATCAATTCATTGGTTAGTTTACGCGCAGCGTAAGACTGCAATACGCATGCCCATCGTAAGCGGCTTACTCAAATGCACTTTCCGATTCTTAAAAATCCCAGACACATGATCAGTTATGTGGTATTGACTGCCATTCAATTCTGTGAAGATCATCACTAGCATTATCCTCTTCCGAGGGAAACTGTCCCGCGCCAAGAGGCGTGATGGGGTCGATCTGTACCGCTCTGTCCAAATTAATCATCGCTTGTCTTCCGGTGCCAGTCGAGTTGCAGACGAGGCCAAACATAAGACCGCACTGTACCAGACATGTGCGCCCGATAGGTAGTGCACGACGTCACCACGTACGGAGCAAAATAGAAGTGTAAATGATCATTCACACCGTCAAATTACGCGCTGCTCCGCCTTTCTATTACCAGTCTACAATACGACCTTAGATGCATCGGCGACTGTCTGGGAACTCCACACTCCCAGTCAGTATGTAGATGACTTAAACATGCCAATAACGTCAGTGAATACCACTCAGTGACACAAACTGAAGCGTACATCGCGCGCTCGCCTCGGCCGCACTCCTCTCATGAGTCTGTAGAGATGTACCCTATAGCTCACGCACGTCTTCGCAATAACTCTGTTCTCAGAGTGCAGCATACGTCTCGTGGTTGTCTCATGCGCTCTTCTTGCCCTTGCCAGCCGCAGCCTGGTGTTACGTCCTTTTCAACACTACCTTTGCAAGGCATATCTAAGCAAGTCCGTTGATCGTCATGACTCGTGGCTCTGAGAATGTGTAAGTTATATTGTTACGGGATGCGGCTGATCGTAATGAAGAGGAGATTATGCACACTCTTGTGTGTAGCCTCGCTTTCACCGTCTCTTTCGCATATACACAAACGAGACCAGCTCCCGCACCGCTTCAAACGATCCGTGCCAGAATATGTATACGTATGAGGTCGACTTCCTGCTACAGTGCGGTGGAAATCTTTGCCCCGTCCACGCAGCATCGGTGAGAGCCATTTGCGTGTGTAAACAAAGTGGTGAAATGGCCATCACCTCGATGAGCCCCGGCGACGCGTGACGCGCACACGGAACTGTCGATATAGCGAGTAAGCAGCGTTGGTGCATGAGCTGGAAGATTGTGTCGTGTCTTTAATACCTTCGACAGCTCTTACAGTAGCGTCGAGGCAAGGAGGGTCGGCCCGTACATCAAGGTGAGCGGACTGGGGTTGTACATGTTCCGGATGTTGATCTCCGGCATGTTTCATCTCTGAGATTCTGACGTTTGACGCTCGCTACTCGCCGTACTCGCCTTGCTGACTATTAAAGACCGTCGGGAAAATTCGGTGAGGGGCCTTGCACCGTGATGAAAAAATGCACGAGATCATGCTATATACCAAAGAGGTCTTTCGTCGAGCATTGGCAGCGTCGGAGATGGTCTCCGAATGCTGGCCGTTGATGTCGGCTGCGCCGAGCAGCTTGGATATCTCTGCGGGCACGACATTCGCGTACTGCGTCAACGCAGGTTTGTAGCGCGAGCGTGGGAAGGCGCATGAGCGCGTATAGGGCTGAGCGCGAAGAGCGCCCGTCGCTGTCCAGTCGTCGGGCGGCCACACAGTCAATCTTCGACGAGCTCTTCTCGTCGTAAGTTAGGTAAGGGGATGTGTGAAGATTCCAGAGCTGCTGGCGAGACGAGGCTACCAGGAGGTGATTGTCAATTGAGAGGTGGGAGTGATGACAAGAGACTCGCGAGAAGAAAGGAGAAGAAAAAAAATTGAAAACATCGCAACCGAGAAGGATACGAAACGAGGTGTGCGTAGTGGTAAGCGATCGAGTTTAGTCGGTGCCGTGCTCGCGCTGTTTACGCTCCGGCATTTTCCGGAAATATTTTCGGCACGTCTGCCTACTCGCACCAGTTTTCAAAATGCCCCGCAAACTTGCCCCTTCGCAGAGCTGCCTCGATCGGCCGTATAGTTGGACCGTCACTAATAAGGCATCGCGAGCGTTCGTATAGTGAGCTGAGTGGTGACGATTGCTGTCTGTACAGGCGCAGCATCAGCGTCCAGGTGGGTGTAAGTAAGTAAGTAAGTAAGTAAGCAAGTAAGTAATCCCCGGGGTCAACCAATTGAAACTGGGGAGCTCTATGCCCAGCACGTGTCGCCCCGGGCTGCCCATCAACCCCGTACTCAATGGGGCGTCAGCTAACGACCAGCCATCACGTCAGAGACTAGCATGTTCCACCACTTGTCGGCGTTAATGGAGGGTCACGGCAGCCAAAACGGGCTTCAGCAAACCAGCGTCGCAACTACAGCTAGCCACCCCCGCCGTGGATCTCAAGGACAGGCGATATTCGCAACTGACATCAGGAAGGCGCGGTGCATTAAGCAGTAGTCTCGTCCACCTCATCCTCGTCCAATACATTCTCTGGGTCTACACAGACTATATATCGAGAAGGTAATACAAGCTCCACCCTCCCGAAGACCTTCAGCGTCTTACTGACAAACGCTGCGAGCAGTGCACAGACGTCGTGAGCGCCTATGAATGTCCTGAGGGCGATCAATGCCTCGTCCTCTGTGTACGGCCTGACAAAGTTCGGTCGCGGCTCGTGGAAGCTGGCATAAAACTCGCTGCGGAGCTGAGCGCGTCACGCTCGTTGCACACGAGTACGGCGTGCTCCGGGAACTCTACGGCTTTGGCGCACAGGCGGCAGAGCCTCTCCTCGCGCGGCGCTATGAGACGCTTCACACCGTTCCTCGCTCCAGATCCGTGATGAAACCGTTCGATCGCCAGGGCATGGCTGCTGATCATGAGCTTTGCCATGGCCGACCTGTCATCTGCATTACGGATCTTGAGGTAGTGGCAAAGCCTCATTAGCATGGGCCGAGGAGGGCCGCGCGCTTGCGGCTCGGGCCTGTAGCGCAGGAGGTACAAGCGCGGCGATGTGGCAATGTCTAGCGACTGTCATAGAGTTGCTGACCGCGTTGAAGAGATTGTCCACCGTGCCACTTGCCCGAATATCCGCCGTGGAAGGCATGCCGACCTTCACCGGTAGGCGGTCGAGGGCGATGCGAAGGTCGCCGAGAAGCCCGGCGACCGTGGCGTCTTACATGGCGTCCTGCTCCTCGAAGGCCGCGCGCACAAGACGACTGCCGTCCTGGTGAAGCAGGTACCTGAGGTAGCGAAGGGCGAGCGTCAGGCGCCTATACCGGATGGGCCAGACATTCAGTTCCGTGAATAGCGACGTGTGTGGGGACCAGTTATTAAAGATATCCATCGGGCGGCTCAGGAACTCGTGCTGCACGCGCATGATCTTCTCTAAATTCTTATCGACGTCGACCATAATGTCCGCGCTGCTGCATAGGTGCGGATCTATTCGTCCCAGGTACAGGAGCTGGAGGGTCTCGGGTGGGAGGTCGCCGAAGGCGGAGTGGCCAGCGAGAATCGCGAGCGAGGCGCCGCGCGCCTTCGCCGCAATGTCGGAGTAGTGTGGCGCGAAGCTAGTGCCGATACTGGACTTGATGTGCTGGCCGACGTATGTGTGCGTCGCCGTGTACTTGACGGAAGCCCGCCGAGGCAGAAGATTGGGGGCTTCTTTGGTATCTTGCCGAATACCATGATCCACGTCTCGATGCTGTTCAACAGCAACTGCCTTCTGCCAGCACATTGATAAAGGTAGCCCAGGAGTGCTTGCAGCCGGTTTGCGCCGAGCGCGATGAGTTGCATGTCGTCTGCGTGCTCAACGTGGGATATACGTATATTCTGTGAGCCAAGGAGCGGGTCGTCTGGGTGGGTCGTGGGCAGTCAGATATAAAGAGGTTCCATAGTGTGGGGGACAACGGGTCACCGATGAGAACCCCGATGTCCGAGGCGAAAGCGTCCGAGAACTCGTCTTAGAGCTGGACCACATATCGCATGTTGGAATAGAGCATCCTGAGCCAGTCGACAATAGCTCCTACACAGCCCTGGCGCTGAGTGTGAGCCAGAGGATGTCCCGGTCCGTAGCCAGGAACGCGTTGCTGATGTCTACGAACGCAACGTACATGGGAAGCTTAGAGTTCTGATACTTCTCGATGATGCCGCGTGGAATGAAGACGTTGTTGTTCGTTCTGCATCCGTGGCGGAACCCGTTCTGGGAGGCCGGAAAAATATTGTGTCTTTCCGCCCTTGCATACAGTCTCCTGTGGATGAGTAGAGTCATCACCTTCAACGCAATAGACTCGAGGCCAATGGCACGATAGCTCGCCGCGTCTTTCGGGTGGAGGTTGCTCTTTAGGATGCCGATGACGGCCGTGAGAAGCCATATGAAGGGAGCGTCCTGCTTTCGGACACACTGATTGAAGAGGTCGCACAGAGCTTCGTTGGGAACCATCATGGGCACAGACGTGGCGATCTCCAGATGCCCCGGCTTTAGCGGCGCTCTTGATCTTGGCCTTCAGCAACGCAATATACGCGGGGACTCACTCGCGCGTGAAAGTATCGTCGGGAGGAATGTCTGGTGTGATATCCGCAAGGCGGCGGGAGAGGTGGCGGGCGTGCACGCGAGCGGAGAGGATGGAGAAGTCTGGAGGGCTCGGCGTTGCGGCTCATACGCCGCCGGAACGTTGCTGCCAGGTCTGTCAAGGAAACCTTCGCGCCTCTCTTTTTAGCATCCATGTAGCGTTTCCATGTACACCAGAAGGGCCTTCCCGCCTGGCTTGCCGCCACTATCGCATCCTGGTGCTTGTCCTGGGTCCAGTGCTTCCTGTTCCTTTCCCTCCGGCCCTTTTGACCTTACTCCCTCCACGCTGGTCTATGCCTGTCCGTGCGGCGCCCTTCGGGATAGAGTCGCTGGTGGCAGGGAGATGGAGACTTTGACGGCGCCTTTCGGTATTCTTTCCGTTCCCGGTCGCGTCGGTTCAGCGGCGGGGGGCGGAATTGGCACGAATACCCCTAGCGGCGGCTCGTCGGCGCCCTTGTTGGCTAGGCGGTCGGCGCTCTCGTTCCTGTGACTGCCCTTGTGTGCCTGCACATACTCGAACCGAGTAGTTGCTGTGCGGGCTTTCAGCCACTCGGCGCAGTTCCTAAGGATGTCGCCGTTTGCACACAGCCATCCGGTGTTCTCGCGTGAAGCCGCCCAGTGCGTAAGTAAGCGTATCGCATATTGGGAGTCGGAGAAGATACGAAGGATGGCGTACACTTCTGCGCGGTTGTTCGTTTGCGCACGCAGCACTTGCACTGCCCAGTTCCGACAGCTTTCTCCAAAGTAGACCCCAGCACCCGCGGAGGCAGCCTGTCGCCCGTTGCTGTGGCAGGAGCCATTCGTGAGTATGATGGTCTCGCGAAAGCCTCTGGCGGCGCAGCCATACAGAGCGAACATGTGCGTATCTGGCGTTGAGTCTTCCGCACTCTGAATTGCGGCTGCATATGCCTTGTCCAGTTCGCTGTGCATTGGGAGGTCCGATCGCCTGCGGGGCCAGCGGCGTGCTCTGGCCGCGGCTGGTTTGTAGTCGCACAGCAGCTCACTTCCGAGTACAGCGAGGGCGAATTCCATAGGCGCATGATCAGATTCGCCCAGTCGAGGCAGGATTCTGAGGTCGAAGACGTAGGGCGCGGCCAGAGCATTCGTGATGAGGTAGTCGACAACGGATTGGCGAAGATCGGTTGAGTCTGAGTTGAATGACGTCCACGCGCCGGACTCTTGTCCCATATCCTCGCACCCGTCTAGGATGTTCATGTCCGTTGCTCTCAGAGCGTCCATGAGCTCCGTGCCTCGTGCCGTCGTCTCCTTGTCGAAAGAGAGTCGCGTGGGGTTGTGCGGCTGTGGCTGAGTGCTTGCTGTTCGAGCATTGAGATTGCCTACTAGCAGCATGCGTCTGCGTAGTCGATGTCCGAGAGCGAGTGCCTCGGCAAGCTTGAATGTCGGGAGCGTGAACCTGCAACGGGCGGGAAGGTGAGTCAGTAACGAAAAGATAGAGGCCTAGATGTCACCGTAGGTAGCCGTGCATGGAATATGCGTGTTCGTGATGGAGGCTGGGAGTGATAGGTGGGTAGGCGACGCAGTATGGTCTACATGCTCGTTGGCACAGGAAGCAGCGAGGAATCCCTAGTGTGAGCACGGGCACGCTCAATAAATGAGTGCGATTGACTCTAGCGGACACTTAATTAGCTGTCGAGTGCACGTCCTTGGGTTGATTCGAGGTTCCGATTGAAAAAGGATAGAGAATGGTTCGTGAGTATCCTCACGAGGTTCAGATGTGGTTGTGCGAGACAATTGCGGTCATGACAGACTGGACGCTGTGAGATGTAATAGAAGCGGGGACTCACGATGCATCAAGTGCTAGTATCTGTGAGACGTCAATGGTGGCCAAGGCGGCGTAAATGAGTTGCGTAGGACGTTAGTGCTAACACTGTTGCACCGCGACGCTTGCGCAGTAAACGCGGTGCGCGCTAAGCGAACTGGAACAAACGGAGAGCGCATTTCTAGCGCGCTCAGTTGCTTAGCAACTCAGGGCGCCAGTGTAGTTCGGTTGCAGAACTTAAGTCATGATGTTGCCTTTGTGTGCAGCCTCCGGACCAGAGGTGGCAAAGGGTGTTTATAGTTGAATGAAGCGATGTCGGGGGCTGAAAGGTTCTCGAATAAGGCAATAATAGCAGCGATACGGTCTCGTACGAGGTTGTGAGTGAGTATGGTAGAGGCGGAACGATGATGGCATGAAGGCCGAAGGAAGGCGTCGAAATCCGAAGTCAAAAGAAATGGTCAATCCACAATCTGAAAGAGGGATTACAGGCGGGAGTGGTAAACGGCAGGGTCTGGGAAATGCGTGGTGAGCGTACCAAAGCAAAACGGAGTACGTAAGTTGACAATCGAGGTTGGTGTAGCAGACGAACAAATCAACGTCCTTCAGTGTGCAGCGTGCAACAATCCAGTCATAGGCAATCTTCACCAGCGAGCGCGTAAAGGAACGCGAGCCCGGGCTGGCGTAACACTTGACGTCCAAGAGCGAGTGATATTCAGCCAGCGGGCATGTGTAGTCGGCGGGCGTTATGCGAGAGGGGCCACGAAAAGCTGATACGTGGTGGCTTTGGTCACGAAGCAGCCCTCTGACTGCATGGGCGCTGTGCGGAGTAGCGATGGACCGGATATTGAGCCCGCGAAGGTTGGTTGGCAAGAGGAGGAGGCCGGGAATGAATTAAACGGGAACACCGAGGCACTCGTGGACATTGGCCCCTACGAGGTGGTCGAGCTTCTCGGCGTTCAAACGCCAAACGGACTGAAGTTGCGACTTGAATCGCGGAGAGAGCGCTGGGCCATTGGGTAAGAAGGCGGTGCAACAGGGTGTTGGATAGCAGTTTGAGTGCTGGAGGGAACTGGACGAGCGCGTAGGACTAGCTGGTCAGACGAACGTGCGGCCAACCTGAATCGCAAGTGAGTACGTTAGGTACGGAAAGCAAAGCCCCGGAAATTCCACGCACCTTGTACCCCGTTCACTCCCCGGCAATTCGGTCTGTACCATCCGCAGTCACATCCGATGTAAACGTCGTACCCTAGCCTTGGATACCTGCATCAGAGGCTAAGACGCCCATTTGCCTGGTGGGCATCCGGTGCTCATCAGATATGTACGCTCATACCAATGCTAGGCCATCCGAAATTTGTACTCACTATTTAGGCTCATCTTCGAGGACGTTCCAGACAAGAGTAGATTGTGAGGAGACCCTCGCGAATGTCGTGAGAGACCGGCGTGAGAATGATAGAGGCTGCCGCCTGACCACCCCAAAATGCTGACTGATAGTGGCGCTCCGGTGTTGTATAGTTATTATGACTCACCACTGAGATATGACCAAGGCTGGCAATCAGACTTCAATCGAGACTTCAATCGCGCCTCCGTCGGATGCGCGTGTGACGCGCGCTTGCGGCGCGCGAGTGCATGGCGGGACTTCAACCGCAACTGCCGCGATGCCCTAGACCATCGTCGTTTCATTCGTTCATCTGCTCCAATCGCGCATGACCTTGCCTACTCCTATGTGTTTGACTTTTCCAACAGACACTGGCTCGCTAGGCTGCCGTCAACCCATGTTGGCGTAGAGATTCTCCAGGAACTCTAGCGTGTGCCGACGTGAGGCAACGGTTTGCTCGTCCCCACCATTACAATGACACCGAACGCCTTCAATCCTGTATCTCAGGCCCACCCGAGCTACGTTTTGTGAATGGTGGTATCCGCTGTGGTATTGATGCGCTTGCGATTCGAGGTGCAGAGCAGGCGCTCGGACGCGACTCATACAGGGCGTCGTACCCACCGCGCTCCCAGCCCCCCCCTCACAGCCGAGTCAGCCTCACTCACATCGTCAAGACATGCTCTTTATCAGGATGCAAAAATACTACCGATCATGTAAGCTCTACATTCGTTGCTTCTGAGAAGTTATTCGTGATCGATGCTCACGACGTACGCGGCAGGCACCTTCTCGACCGTATCCAATGAGCGCTCCTTCGTTCGCGCACGATATTATCCCACAGGAATGCTCGCCAGTCATTGCGCCGCGCGCGCTTCGAGACTCGGCGGCTTGGCTCGTACTCTTCGCCCCGCAAGACACCCTCCACGCGACGGAAACAGAACGCAGTCTCGTGCCATGCGCGTCAAGGCGCCCGCTTGCGCATGCCTCCATGAGGTGTTGCCGCCGAGACAATCACCGCGTAAAGATTCGATGGGAAGCACTTTACAATTGCTGCGCCCGCATGGAGGACTGACGCTGGCATGCCTTCGCCGTTGGCGTACCCGATTGTGCCGTCGGCAAGCTACATTACCCGTGCGGTCATCTACCGCATAACGACCGCCACCTCGGATCGCGTAGCCACGGTGCTCCTAGACGTCAAGCACACCACCCTCGCTTACACCTGCCTGGAGAACGTCGTCCGCTCGGAAATGACCAGGGCGTACGCACGTGCTTGACGCTGTCTGATCCCTGCCGGCCGTCCTACTAGCATCGTGACACTCCCCTTTCACCAGAGACCTTCAGCAAGCGCAGGATAAGATGGAGGCCGGAGATCTCATCCCATCGCCAGGCGACCGTCAGCGTGATAGGGCGCATAGTTGCGGAGACCTGTGAGAAGGACGTTGGCGTGACCGGATTCAGGCATGCCCGGCACTCATGCGTTCAGTCTCTATCTTTGGAGGAGTGGACGCAAACGGCGTGTCGTAGACTGAATTTCAGTCACGTCTCGTGTGCTGCTCAAGTTGATACAAGTACTTTAAACTCCACGTCTTCCTTCCTTCCCTTCCATCCGTTGTGAGGCGCGCTCTTCCATCATGCATACATCGTCAATGTTGTCCTCTGTGTTGTACACCCATGCCATTTCAACCTTTGATCTCATCCAAGTCTGGGTCGTATGATTGGTGTGCACGAACGTCGCAACATGTTCACTTTGAATTCCGTCGGTTGTAATGTCGCCGCTCCGGTTTGGGATCTCGCAAGCCACGTCTCCTGTAACTCATGTGTGGCCTGGCTTGCCAACCAATCTGTCTATTTGGGATACAGGACTCTGGCAAGACGACGGCGACAAAGCGCAGTGGGCCTTGTGTTCGCGACACTTGGGGAAAGCAAACACACCACATTGGTTTGTAAATGTCGGCGTGGATCTTTGATGATGTAGGGGAAAGTTCTGACAAAGGGTGCACTAAATGTGGTCATGTTCTTTGAGCCCTCCCCACCCGCCATCGAAGCTCTCGTCGGTATCAGTTCAAGACTGCAAGCCCGTAAACGGTTATGGTTTCGTGGCCCCTTCAAGCGTCATGCGCAGGTCGCATATGGCTTTCTAGTGCCTATCAGCAGGAAGGCCCTCGTCGAACACCTCGTGTTTCAATGCGTAGAGGATGTGTTGACGGTATGGCACGGGATTGCGGAAGTAGGCCGTCCGTCGCTGGCCTCGCATCCGATGCCTGCGCCCTTCCATTATTGACGCGTTCAGTAGCATCCATGGCATCTAGGTCAGACTTTGTTTTGGTCCGTGGCGGGCGGGAACCTGCAAAACAGGCTTGTTCATCGCCACAGTGCGAACTGCCAGGGAATGTGGGGGTGTGAGCTTTTGCTTAGGTTGGTGTCCTGGCCAGTATTGGCTGGGATTAGACAACTGCGGTACTCACAAGCAACGGGCCACAAGCGCTTGGTATAATGAGCACCGGGGACCGTATTCCTGACTCGGAATTTAGATCGGTTGACCCAAAGACTTGTTTGCGCCTGTCTATATCACAGATGAGCGTGCAGATTGGACCTCGAGTCGTCCCTCTCTGTGATTGACCGATGAGGAGCACAGATGATCAGCCTGCTTTATAGCAGCATGTCGACGATGAATGGTATCCAGTAGGCATCAAGCGTATGCGATGGAACCCTTCATTGCGACGCATTATATTCTAGCCACTACATGACCGTAATAGACTGTGATACTGTATGAGGGCCTCCTCCTCCTCGGAACTTGCCAGAGCGGCGCGCGGCTCGGTAAACGCAACCAGGTGTGGCACACCACCTTCGTCACACGCCATATTGTGTGAGAGGCGAGCATCGCTAGTCAAGCAAGAGGAAGGCGGATCATCGCGAGGCCACCCGGTGAGCGCTGTGTGGTACGGCTGTTCGGGAGATGCCGTGGTCATGCGAGTCACAGCACGTGACGAGAACGGTCAGTAGGTCGCGACTTGACCGCGTCGCGGTCCATCGCACCTTGTTCTCCACACCTTGTTCTCCACACATCCATTAACATGGCTCGCGCGACAGTTTCGAAACCGACGCGAGGCTTGGGCGAGATACGTACGAGGTCGCGGTCGAAGGCGGAGAACCTGGAGAAAACCGCCGGCAAAGGTAATGTGCGCATTGACGAATGAA